TGTCCGCGACTTGTCTGCGGACAAGCTGTCCCCTCGTGCTGCTCCCTGTGTCTTCCTTGGCTTCCCCACTGACGCCCCAGGGTGGCAGTTTTACCACCCCTCCTCTCGTCGTGTTCTGTCCTCCCAGGACGTCACGTTCGACGAGTCAGTCCCCTTCTACCGTCTCTTCCCCTACCGCACTCCTTCCCTCCCCCCTCCCCCGGACTTCCTTGTGCCGGTTCCCCCCCCGGTAGACCCCCTCCCCCCTCAGGTTCCTGCCCCCTCAGGTGTGTCCCAGGTAGACGCCGTTGACCCGGTCGAGGTTACTGGTGACTCTGGTGCTGCTGCGGGTGCTGAGCCTGGGGGTGCTGACTCTGGGGGTGCTGTGCGCGGGGGTGCTGAGCCTGGGGGTGCTAGTGCTGGGGGTGCTGGGCTCGAGGGTGCTACTGCGGAGGGTGCGGAGCCTGGGGGTGCTGAGCCGGGGGGTGCTGTGCCTGGAGGTGCTGGGTCTGGGGGTGCAGGGTCGGGAGCTGCTTAGCCTGGGGGTGCTGAGCTGGGAGCTGCTGAGCCTGGGGGTGCTGCGTCTGGAGCTGCTGAGCCTGGGGTTTCTCCTGCTGCTGCGTCTCGCCGGGAGCCCCTCTCTCCACAGGAGCTGCGCGAGTGGTTCGCTCGCCGCTGGAGGCGTGCTGCTGAGTCTGGAGGTGCTGCTGGAGCTGGAGCTGGAGCTTCTTCGACCGTCGAGGGTGCGGGTGCAGCCGGTCCCGGAGCTGCTGGCCCTGCAGGTCCTCCTGGAGCTGGAGCTGCTGAGGGCGTTCGTGCTGAGCCTGCTGCTGTTGGTCCTGCCGCTGGAGGTGTGGGTGGCGCTGGTGCTGTCGCTGAGGGTGCTGGTGCTGTCCCTGCTGAGTCTGGAGCTGCCGCGCGGCCTCGGCCGTACTTCGTTCCGCTCCTTCAGCAGGTTCTTGGTCTTTCTCCTCCAGTAGAGGGTCCACCGCCGGTCCAGTCGCAGCCCCTACTGGAGCCTTCCTCTCCACTGCCTGCTCCCTCTCCTTACACTGGTCCTACTGGAGGTCTTGCTGAGCGTCGTGAGCCTGCGTCTCGTCCCGCGTCGCCTGTTCGTGCTGCTCGCGCTAGTGGTCGCAGTTCGCGTCAGCGTCCTCCTCCTGTCCCTGGCACGCACCGGATGTCTTTACGTCCGTCCACTGCTCCTCTGCGTGCCCCTTTGCCTTCTCCTCCTGAGTCCTCTCTTCCTGCGCTTGCGGACCCTGAGTCGGACTCTCTTCGTGCTGCCAGTCCCACTGTCACGCGTCTGCTTGCTACTGTCGTCACTGACCCCTCTTTTGAGTCCACTGCTGCGTCTGCTCTAGTCGCTGAGCTCGTCGACTTTGCTGCTCGCTGTCGTCTCGACTACGCTGCTAGTCTTGTTGCTGAGTCTGCGTCTGTCTGTCCTCCGTCCGTCGGGGGTGAGTGTGCTCTTGGCACGGACGTCCTAGAGGACAGGCAGGAGGAGTTACAGTGTCTAGCGGCTGCTTCACCTCATCTCGCGTCTGTACTGCTTGCCCCTGAGGGAGACCCGGATGCACTAGACATCCCGACTCCGCGTTCTTATGCGGAGGCCGTAGAGGGTCCCTACTCCTCTCAGTGGCAGGCAGCTATGGATGCAGAGATGGCTTCCTGGAAGTCCACAGGCACCTACGTTGACGCGGTTCCCCCTCCTGGGGCGAACATCGTCAGTGGCATGTGGATCTTCAGGGTGAAGCGGCCGCCGGGCTCTCCACCTGTCTTCAAGGCACGGTACGTTGCTCGTGGCTTCAGTCAGCGGCAGGGAGTTGACTACTTTCAGACCTTCTCTCCCACCCCGAAGATGACTACTCTTCGGGTGCTGCTGCACATAGCCGCTCAGCGCGACTACGAGCTTCACTCTCTCGACTTCAGCACTGCGTTCTTGCAGGGTAGCCTGCACGAGGAGATCTGGCTTCGCCGTCCACCTGGCTTCACTGGGACTTTCCCTCCTGGCACCCAGTGGAGCCTCCGACGGCCAGTCTACGGTCTCCGCCAGGCACCGCGTGAGTGGCACGACACACTGAGGACTACGCTTGCGGCTCTTGGGTTTGCTCCTTCTACTACTGACCCGTCGCTGTTTCTTCGCACCGACACTTCCCTGCCGCCGTTCTACATCCTCGTGTACGTCGACGACCTGGTCTTTGCCACAGCGGACACTGCTGGACTCGCCTACGTGAAGTCCGAGCTGTTGAAGAGACACACGTGCACAGACCTGGGTGAACTGCGCAGCTACCTTGGCTTGCAGATCACTCGGGACAGAGCACGCCGCACCATTACCTTGACTCAGTCACACATGGTGCAGCAGGTCCTTCAGCGCTTCGGCTTCACGTACTCCTCGCCTCAGGCCACTCCTCTGCCTACTCGCCACTCACTCTCAGCTCTGCCTTCGGATGAGTCCGTAGAGTCGAGTGGTCCGTATGCGGAGCTTGTTGGCTGCCTCATGTACCTGATGACCTGCACACGACCTGACCTTGCATACCCTCTGAGCATTCTTGCACGCTATGTTGCTCCTGGGAGACACAGACCGGAGCACATGGCTGCAGCGAAGAGGGTATTGCGCTACCTGTGCAGTACGTCAGGCATGGGGCTAGTGCTTGGAGGGCGGAGTCCAGTGGTCCTTACCGGCCACGCGGACGCTTCTTGGGCTGACGACCAGGCTACGCAGCGGTCGTCACAGGGTTACACCTTCAGCCTTGGTTCCGGCTCTGTCTCGTGGCGGTCTACTCGCTCGTCTTCGGTTCTCGGCTCCAGTTGTGAGGCTGAGATCTACGCCGGGGCCATGGCTGCACAGGAGCTTCGCTGGCTCACCTACCTGCTGACTGACCTTGGAGAGCCGCCTCGTTCTCCTCCAGTGCTGTACGTAGACAACAAGGCTATGCTGGCCTTGTGTCGAGAGCAGCGCTTGGAGCACAGAACGAAGCACATTGCTCTCCGCTACTTCCTTGCTCGTGAGCTGCAGCAGCGTGGTTAGTTGCGACTTGCGTACGTGGCCTCTGAGGCCAACACTGCTGATGTGTTCACCAAGGCACTTGCGCCTTGTGACCATCAGCGCTTCTGCACCCAGCTGGGTCTTGTGCCTGTCTTGCCTCACTTGCTCTCCTCTTGACTTCACTTGTACTGTGACATATATATATACCTGCTCTTGCTTGTCTAGCTTTATATATATGTCTGTACTCTTGCTTGTGAACTGGCCTTTGGCCTTGCTCTTGTGCTTGGACTGTGTGGTGACTTTGTGATCCACCCTGAGCTTTGCTTTGTCTTGCTTGACTGGTCTTGTGACCCCTTGTTCTCCCCCACTTTGCCTATGGGGGTGTGTCAGAACATATCTATAGCTTATACTGCTGTGTAGGCTGTAGTGGGGTATCCCATAGGGGGTACAACCCAGTTAGGGTTTCATATTTGTACTGCTTTCATTCATAGTTCATTCATTCCTGTTTTCCTATTTTCACAGTAACAACGAAACTGGTACGAACGAGAGGTAGGATCAGGCTCGGGAGGTACGAACGGAGAACGGAGGAACGGGATCCCACAGGATCCTAACCTAGCTGATACCATGTCAAAATGAGGAATGGATGTTGCATTGATGTTGGTTGGGGTACATATAACAAACCCTAACCTCTGTACCCCCTAAGACAAACCTCACTACAGGCTACAACATTTGACATAAAAATGCTTTTGCGTGAAGCGAAATGCTGAAATGCTACATACGGTATATTGTTGGAAACAATAAGTCTAAGTGAGCTTCTGTCGTGTCAAAACCCAAGACACTAGCGAAGAAGTCCGAATCGAAGCATCGAGTAAAACCTCGGAGGTTAGGGTAACCGCCTGGAGGTTACGAGAAAGTCAAAGGTCAGCGACCTTTGACTCGACAATTACAGCGCGACAGTTAAGGACACACAACTGACTCGTTACAGAGCAGTTGCCCGAGTCGCACTGTATCGAATCGCAACAGCAATACAGTTATCTATCTATTCGTATTCTCTGTACCCATATATAAAACCTTGTATTTGCTTGTTTAATTTAATCTACTTTGCTCTCACACACTAGTGCAAGGTCGGTTCACAAGTTTCATTAAACGCTTCCGCTATTACAAGTTTCCTACCCAGAGTTATCCTCTGCAAAGATCCTTAAGGGCCTTCTCAGCCCAACATATTTCACACAAATGCGTGATAATTAACGACCCAAAAACTAGGCTACCGCATCCCCTGCCTAGCATGGGGGGGAAGTCAATAGCAAAGTCTTTGAATAATCAACTAGCACATGAAAAAATACAATCCGTTAACTCTAAAAAAACAGGGTATCAAATCCAGTTCGAAGTGGCAAACACACGAGTCATTGAGTGCGCCAATGAACCAATGAGAAATGATAGACATGAACCCCCTTTTTAAAATTGACAGACATGCATTGATATTGCAATGATAGATGAGATGCACTCACACAAACAAACACATTCACTCAATAAAAAACACGAGCTCTGGCAAACCCAGCCAAAAAACACGCAAATTGAGAAAGCTTGCTTTCTGTTCGTGCAAAGGCAACTGGCTTCATTACAATTGCAGTAATACAACATTCTCGTCCAACTATGGATCATACAAATATTGGTACAACTAGGGCGGGTGGGTGGGGAGTGAAACTGCAAAGTTCTGAAATGAAGTCGTGGGTGGAGGCCGAATGGCCTCCAACTCTCGTTATGTACTCGGCGAATTGTGATTCGCCGTTGCTTTGCTTCGTTACAGGCAGCTGCGCTTTCACAATACACATTTTTAGAAAGTGTTACACACTTTCGAAAAAATTCATATTGAGAAAGCTTGCTTTCTGTTCTTGCAAAGGCAACTGGCTTCATTACAATTGGGTCTTCTGAGACATGTGCAGCTGGAGCGTTAAAAACGTGGTGAGTGTAGTTGCGGTTGATGACATTGACGAAATGCCGGGAGGGGCGGCGTTGGTGAGTCGTGGGCTCCATGTCGATGGCGTCCGAGGTGCTGTGCGCGAAGGTTGCTCGTGCTGTTGATGTGGATGTCCCTGGTTGTTGGTGCACCAGGATAGTGGTTGAAACTGGTGGTTCCCGTACTCTACACGCCCAATGTACGGTACAACTTTTATCTTGGGATTTAGCTTCCATGTGCTCTGCTTTACCCTACACTTCCAGTCGTTTGATGTTCCGGCCGGAATAACTACAACGTGGGTGGATGTAAGGGTTTGAAGTGGTAGTCGGGTGAGTGTGGTATTCGTCATGTTGGTTGGGTAGGAACGGTCACACAATTGCCGCCTTTTACTCCCAAACGCCCATTCAGGTGACAGCATGCAAGTCGTTTCAACGTGTGCTTTTGCTTCCTTGTCGGGTGTTATCGAACAAAGTGGGATGAGAATGATGGCGAAAACCAATCCCATTGTCATTGCCCTTATTTGGAAAAACACGGAATGTGGTTTAAAAGTGTGTGAACACCAACTTGAGTCAAGTCAAGATTTTAAAACCAACTTGAGGTGCACTTGAACAGTTGCTTCCCGAGATTTCAGTGGGGCTCCAACCAGCCTTTATTGGTCACATTAAAAAGTAAATGGGGTACAACAAAAACCAAAGATGATCCAGTCATACAAGCGAGCACATTGTTCGAAATTTTTGCCCATTTTACGGTAAGGCCAACGTGTGGACCTTCGAGTCTCTTCCCCCCTGGGGGACGGCTCTCAGGCCACGCTAGGACCCTCGGTCCCCTTCCCTCCCCTGGGGGACGGCTCTCAGGCCACACGGGGACCCTCGGTCCCCTTCCCCCCTTGGGGGACGGCTCTCAGGCCACACGGGGACCCTCGGTCCCCTTGCCCCCCTGGGGGACGGCTCTCAGGCCACACGGGGACCCTCGGTCCCCATCCCCCCCTGGGGGACGGCTCTCAGGCCACACGGGGACCCTCGGTCCCCTTCCCCCCCTGGGGGACGGCTCTCAGGCCACACGGGGACCCTCGGTCCCCTTCCCCCCCTGGGGGACGGCTCTCAGGCCACACGGGGACCCTCGGTCCCCTTCCCCCCCTGGGGGACGGCTCTCAGGCCATACGGGGACCCTCGGTCCCCTTGCCCCCCTGGGGGACGGCTCTCAGGCCACACGGGGACCCTCGGTCCCCATCCCCCCCTGGGGGACGGCTCTCAGGCCACACGGGGACCCTCGGTCCCCTTCCCCCCCTGGGGGACGGCTCTCAGGCCACACGGGGACCCTCGGTCCCCTTCCCCCCCTGGGGGACGGCTCTCAGGCCACACGGGGACCCTCGGTCCCCTTCCCCCCCTGGGGGACGGCTCTCAGGCCACACGGGGACCCTCGGTCCCCTTGCTCCCCTGGGGGACGGCTCTCAGGCCACACGGGGACCCTCGGTCCCCTTCCCCCCCTGGGGGACGGCTCTCAGGCCACACGGGGACCCTCGGTCCCCTTCCCCCCCTGGGGGACGGCTCTCAGGCCACACGGGGACCCTCGGTCCCCTTCCCCCCCTGGGGGACGGCTCTCAGGCCACACGGGGACCCTCGGTCCCCTTCCCCCCCTGGGGGACGGCTCTCGGCCACACGGGGACCCTCGGTCCCCTTTCCCCCCCTAGGGGACGGCTCTCAGGCCACACGAAGACCCTCGATCCCTTATTTTTATTGGGAGACGTCCTTGGGTGCGCGTTGAGTTGATCCTGTCGTAAATGTAGTTCTCCCGCGCGGCCAGTAGAGTCTTTAAAAGTGTTTTTCCACACCCGTGGTGTTGAGCCTACTTTTCTGCCACCAAGTAACAATAGGAGCATAGAGATTAATGGAAAATAATCGAAGAGATCATAACGGATGAAAAACTTAAAACTTAAAAGACTTGCAGCACGTAGGCAACAAATGACGCCCAGTCGAACGACTTTAGGCGCTGCAGTAGCAATTTCGTAACTGCCGCTCCAGCGGCCATTTCGTCCCTCGAGCGCTGGTGGCGATTTTGCCACTGGCGCACGTGGTAATTTCGCCACATGCGCGCATGTGGCGATTTCGTCCCTGGCGCGCGGCAATTGCGGCAGTGGCGATTTCGTCCCTGGCGCGCGCCACTGGCGCCAGTGTCGATTTCGTCCCTGGTGCGCGCCACTGGCGCCAGTGGCGATTTCGTCCCAATCGTGCGCCACTGGCGCCATTGGCGATTTCGTCCCTAGCGCGCGCCACTGGCGATTTCGTCTCTAGCGCGCCTGTTGGCGTTTTGTCCGACGCACTTCGATCTCAGTTGAGCGCCCGCCAGTTACAGTCGCACTCGTGATAGTTTGCCCTTCATGGAAAATCAAGCACCTGGGTGCAAGTGAGTATTAGCTTAGAAGGTAGTTTCTAGCGACAAGGAAACAGTCGAGGTGGTTGGACGAGAATTGGAGTGAAACTGCAAAGTTCTGAAATGAAGTCGTGGGTGGAGGCCGAATGGCCTCCAACTCTCGTTATGTACTCGGCGAATTGTAATTCGCCGTTGCTTTGCTTCGTTACAGGCAGCTGCGCTTTCACAATACGCATTTTTAGAAAGTGTTACACACTTTCGAAAAAATTCATTACTAAATAACAAGCAAATAAACGCTAAAATGACAATGCAATAAATCCTAGTGACCAATACACATTTTTCAGATTGAAATCGCATTCCTGACTAGCAAGGCTCCTGAAAAACGCGTTCAGGAAGTGGAAAGGAGGAACGGAAAGAAATAGCCAGTACAACAAACAAAACAGAAAAATGTATGAGGTGTGATGAAATGAAGAGAAACAGAAATAACAAAGTAACGAATGAAACAGTACAAGGGCTAAGAAAAATGCCGTGAGCATTGAATGATTAGAGCAAGGAGAAGAATGTACCGAGGCATAAAACGAAAGTAAGGAACGGGAACAGAGGGAAAAAATAAAAAGACAGTAAACCAAAAAAGGGAACATAACTAATACGGAGAGCGAGAACAACGGAGAGCGAGAGCGAGAGCGAGAGAGGACGAGAGAGAGAGAGAGAGAGAGAGAGAGAGAGAGAGAGAGAGAGAGAGAGAGAGAGCGAGAGAGAGAGAGAGAGAGTACGAACGAGAGAGAGAGAACGAGAGAGAGATAATGAGAGACAGAGAACGAGAGAGAGAGATTGTGAGATTGAGAGAACGAACAAGAGAGAGAGAACGAGAGAGAGAGAGAACAAGAAAGAGAGAACGAGAGAGAGAGAGAGAGAGAGAGAGAGAGAGAGAGAGAGAGAGAGAGAGAGAGAGAGAGAGAGAGAGAGAGAGAGAGAGAGTCATGGCTACCCCTAGTGTCCTCACTTTTGACGCCGAGGGTCGGGCCATTGACTTTGACGTATGGGTAGATGACCTGCAGCTTTTCCTACAGTGCGATAGGACAGACGGTCTCTCTCTCTTTGACCTCACCTCTGGTGCCTCTCCTGCCCCTGCTGCTGATGCTGACGCCACTGTTCGCTCACAGTGGGCCACGCGCGATGCTGCTGCACGTCTTGCTGTGCGTCGCCACCTCCCTACCTCTGAGCATGCGCACTTTAGTCAGTACAAGAGTGCTCAGACCTTGTACGACGCTGTAGTTGTACGCTACTCCTCCCCTGCCACTGCTGCACTGAGCCGCCTCATGCTACCGTACGTCTTCCCTGACCTTGCTGCCTTTCCCACATTCGCTGACCTCATTATGCACCTCCGCACTAGTGACACTCGCTACCGCACTGCGCTTCCTGCTGAGTTCTGCGCCAAGAACCCCACCCCCCCCCCATGTATATCACCCTCTACTACATAGTCACCCGGCTCCCTGACTCCCTTCCCGTAGTCAGGGACCACTTTCTCTCAGTGTGCCCCACCACTCTCACCGTTGACCTCCTCGTGAAGTCCCTTCTAGCAGCAGAGAAGAGCATAGTCGCTGTAGGAGCCTCTCGTGGTGACCCCCGCACCCCCGTCTTAGAGGGGTGTTCTCCCTCCCCCCTCTTGCCCTCTGTTGCTTTTGCTGCTGCGGCCGACCTCGTTGGTTTTGAGTCAGTCGGCGCTGCGTCTGCCCCTTCGGGGAAGCGCCGCACAGGCAAGGGCAAGGGGGGAAAGGGCGCTGGAGGAGCTGGCGGGGGCGGTGGAGGTGGCGGTGGAGCCGGCGGAGGGGGTGGAGGTGGTGGTGGGAGTGGTGGCGGGGGTGGAGGTGTTGGTGGCGGCAGTGGAGGCGGAGGCGGAGGCGGCGGTGGCGGTGGGAGCGGAGGTGGCGGAGGTGGCGGCGGAGGAGGAGGCGGAGGCGGAGGAGGTGGAGCTAGTCGGGGTGGCGCTGCGCAGAGGGGCGGCTCCGGTGGTGGCCAGCGCCAGCAGCAGCAGCAGCAGCGCACTCGTGACATCCCCCCTCCTCAGCAGCTCGTGAGTGGTACGCTGCACGCCAGCGGGGTGGGGGGGCTGGTCCGTGCACTTACGTCCTACGCACCGGCGACCATGCTGGTGAGCAGTGTGGGGGTGCGCACTCCACCCAGCGCTGCTTTGGCCGCCTGACGGACGCTTGGCGTCACCAGTTCACAGAGGCCACTGAGATCCCCCGCTAGGGTGAGCTGTCTAGGGCGGGAGTAGCTATCTTTGACCTTGACTTTGATGCTATTCTTGCTACCATGTATGCTGTAACTATTAGTGATGAGGGTGACTGTTACCGGTGTTTCCCGCCCGATCCGGGCATTGAGACTGCTGCTCTAGGTACTGGTGAGGCTGATGCTCTAGGTGCTAGCGAGGCTGTTGCTCTAGGTGCTAGTGCGTCTGCGCCCTCAGGTGCTGGTGAGTCTGCTCTCTCAGGTACTGCGTCGGCTTCGGCCTCCCTCACCTTCACCCTTGACTCTGGGGCTTCTCGCTCCTTCTTTCGAGACCGCACCACACTCACGCCGCTTGGTCGGCCAGTGGCAGTCTCTCTGGCCGACCCCTCTGGGGGTCCTGTCCTTGCTCACTTCTCCACTGTCCTCCCGTGTCCGGCGGCCCCCTCTGGCACCCTGTCTGGTCTTTACCTCCCCACATTCTCTACGAACTTGGTGAGTGGTGCTGACCTACAGGATGGGGGAGTGCACCAGTTCACTCCTGCGAGTCAGCGGGTGACACATTGCACTGAGGCTCGGACAGGCCGACACTTGGCCACGTTTACACGTCAGCCGGGGTCGAGCCTGTACACACTGACCACTGAGTCTCCTCCAGTCACTGCGTCTGGTCGGGTAGCTGCGTCGGGTCAGGTGTTTGCTGCAGCGTCCAGGTCTGGTCCTGAGTCTGCCCCCTGCTCGTGTCGTCTCCTGTCTCACGAGACTCTCCTCTGGCACCACCGCCTTGGTCACCCCTCTCTGCTTCGTCTCAAAGGCATGGCCTCCCGTCTCCTTGTTTCTGGTCTTCCCCCGTCCCTCCCTCCCCTTCCTCCGGGGCCTGGCCCTACCTGTTCTCCCCCACTTTGCCTATGGGGGTGTGTCAGAACATTATAGCTTATGCTGTTGTGTAGGCTATAGTGGGGTATCCCATAGGGGGTACAACCCAATTAGGGTTTCCTATTTGTACTCACTTCATTCATAGTTCATTCATTCTTGTTTCAGTTTTCTCATGTGAATGTGCCACGAACGTGATTTCGGCACCCCTTACGACACATTTGCCCAACCCTGCGACCAGATTCCTCGATCAAAATCGAAAAGATGGTTCAGTATCTGGAAAAAAAGACAAGAGGCGACAAACTCGACCTAGGGTTGCGAATCAATTTTCATACACTCTTAGAATTTTATAACTTTCAGTAAGTAGCATAAAACTAAATGGAACAAATCTTGTCTAGGTTCTGGAAGCGTACCAGCAGGAATCGACCTGATGACCTTTCCATTACCCCTTATCTCCGAGCCGACTGCGCGACAAGTGCTATTACGTCAGTTTGCGTTAAATGTTTTTATAGTTTTTTTTGCGATGGAATTGGCACATCCTTAGGGTTTGTTTTTCTCTTCTTCTCTTTCCTCTCGTCAGAGAAGCTTGGTTCTTCACCTATTCCCGCTAGTCATGCTCCACCTACCTACCAGTGGTGAGAATAGCCCTAAGGGTTAACTAGAACTATGTTTCATGTTGTATTCTAGTAGACTAGCCTAAGCATGGGTGTTGTTAGCTATCTACGACCCTTAATATAGCTAGATCGATGTTGTTACTATGTAGAATTTAGAAGCCTCATGCATTAATTTAGCAGCTAGGTCGTTCTTAACCAGCTCGCCTCACTTCTTGCTATGATCGAATTACGTCCTGCCCTTATCTCTGAAATCCGTTTCTTTCCATGTTCACATGCAATTCTTGATTCATACCGTTTTCCTCCCTCCTTCCTTTCTTGATTCGAATTATGTCCTGCCCTTACCTCGTTCTCTTTTTTTCCGTTCCTTAGTTCTCTGTGTTTTTGCGTACGTGCTTCGTTCTTTTTTGTTCTTCACTTGAATTAACGACTGGACTTAAATGCCAATACCGTTTTCTTTGCTCCTCGTTTGAAGTACCTATTGTAAGATCTGAAAGAACTGCTTATATATTATTGTGATCGCAGGAGCATCATCGGCGCCAGTGTAATGTGTTTGTGTCTTGTGGAACGATCACACACGCAGAGTCGCTCCTGGTGAGTCTTTCGTCGA